GCAGATGTCAGTGAGTGACACAGCAAGCAGATGTCAGTGAGTGACACAGCAAGCAGATGTCAGTGAGTGACACAGCAAGCAGATGTCAGTGAGTGACACAGCAAGCAGATGCCAGTGAGTGACACACATTCCGTCTGTCGTGTAGCAAACCGTGCGCGACCCACCGCATGCCAGGGGGCGCCACTCACAGCAGTGCTGCCACCTAGCTGTCACACGACTACTTACCGATGACGCCGGCAGGGGGCGCCGCTTTCTTAGTTTTGCTGCCTGCCGTCACAGAGTGAGCGCAATCCATTAAAACACGTATATCACACATCGAGTCGATCCCGACGCATCGGCAATACGATTCACATCAGAAGCTACACACGCGTTGCACATGACAGAGAGTAGATTTTGCGGTGGTATAATAATTATATCGTCCCTCTGAGTAAGATAGCGCCACAACTCCCCCGGATATTGTCTCTAGTTCGATCATGTTAGACAGTCGTAGAACTTCAAACACGTTTCTCACGCGTGCGCGTTATATCTTCAACCTAACAACACTTCGTCATCGAGAATTGCTTTCAGAAGGCGTTATTGCAACAACGATTGGCTAGAACCACGAAATAGCACATAATATCACATTGCCACCATGGCCACAGGCGTCCCCGCTTCATGACTCGTGTTCTCTTGCTGCGCTGCTACATCCAACTAGTTTTGCAGCAATCACGGGAAATAATCACCGCGACAACGATTAGCTAGAACCATCCGCTGATCAAGATAAGACAGTATGAAGAAAGCGTCCCCGCTTCCTGGATCGTATTCCCTTCCAGCGCTGCTACAACTCACTCTAACAAGTTTCACGGCAGACGGGCGCAGGGGATGATGGCACTGTGGGGACGCGGCGGCGGCGGCGGCGGCAGCGGCGGCGGCGGCGGCGGCGATACGCACCTATCTTGCGGTCGGTTCCGCTGGTGATGATCTGACATTCGCTCGGATGGTAGCAGACGCATCGGAACAACGTGTTAGCAAAGATGATCTGATTCCTCACGAAACGCCTGCAAGACAGAGGGCGACACCGTCAGTGCCACGCGATCGTTCACCCGGCCGCGAAGATATTGACAGAGGGCGACACCGTCAGTGCCACGCGATCGTTCACCCGGCCGCGAAGATTGATCTTGTCCGGGGGGAAGCATACATTATAGACAGGTATGTCTGCCACCGGACCCACATCTCCTCCGCGCCTCCCCTGTACTTCCCTTGTACTTCTCCCAGGCTGTACATGTGCGCGTGTGACTTACTGGAGGTCCCAGATGATGCATGTTCCGTCGGTGCTGGCGCTCACACACTCCTTGTCATTGCTGCGAACCTTGATGCAGGAGACGGAGCCTTTGTGTTCCTTCATCGTCTCCTTGAGCGTCTGCTTAGCATCGGTGATCTGCCACACCCTCACCTGCAAAACCCACACACCTGCCATCGGTTATCTGCCAAAACCCACAGACCTGCCATCGGTGATCTGCCACACCCTCACCTGCAAAACCCACACACCTGCCATCGGTTATCTGCCAA